GGGCTGAGTGAATCTAATGAAGCTGTTAGCATCCATTTTCGCACTGTTATAGTATAGTAACGTTCTTTGACATTTGCGAGCGGTGCCGAGCCATCTCAATTTAATACTGATATGTACCACTGACTAATATTAGTGTTTTTGCACCAAATTAGCTGTGGTTCTTAAACTGGTCCCAATCAAGATTCTTGGTGCTATGCAGCGAACCAGTCCACGTTTCCACCAGTTTTGAGTTTTTACTACATAAACAAACGAAACAAAATGAAAGATCCTTGTATCTGCTTTACATTACAACATTTTCAATTCATGCAAACAAATCTTTGCCTCAGTTCATGGCGCAAATTCATGACTTCACATCCAATCACGCCTTTGATAATGGCTTCTATTATTGACTAACATTGTATTCTTTCTTTTTATCTTACTTTGCTGCTTGAATCTGATGCTTTTGAGTGCTTTTCAATGTTGGCGCTGCTATCATACTACACTGTATCCCCTATGTGTTCTTCAATGATAGCATAGTACCAGCCAGTCTGTACTCACTAAGCTTTTGTTTATGCATTTCCATGTTAGACCTCTAGCAGCAGCTCCAGCTCTTCTGTTCAGCGATCCCACATCAAGTCTCACCACTCACCCTCCTCTTGCTCACCAGAGAAGACACCTAAGGGCCATCAGCAGGCCATCCAGAAGCAGCCCAGCCAGGTAAATTAACCTGAGGTTAGCAGCTCTGAAATAGACTGAAGGCAAATTACTGTATTGCTCCACCAAATGGTAACTGGATTTGTTATTCAGACAGCAGGTTAAACAACTTTTAAACTTTCATTGTCAAATATCGCTACATTCAATAACTTATGCCTTGGTCACACTACATGACTTCCAAAACTAAAAGCTCCCTGCACCAAACTTGCTTTATGAAATTTGATGTAATGCTAAATTATGAAATAATTGCTAATGTCCATGACAACATGTAACTGGAAACATGAGCCAAAGGCTGTAATATGTCAACAGTCTTCTTTTCAATTCAGCACCAATATTATCCATAAAGATAAAAAGTATTCTGTACAAACTTTAATTTTGTCACCTCAGCTGGCTCAGCCTCCATTGTAGCTGCACTCTTTCAGTGGGAGAACACCATGGAAATTAGAGACGGACTGAAGTTTTTTCAGCTGTTACCAAAGTAACTACCCGGTTTGCTGCTTCTTGTTTAATGCCAAAGACACCCCGTGTCTGCTCTCATTAGTTGTAGCTCTTGCACGACTGACACAGCCAGATATTTAGCCTGCAAGATATTTTTGGGGTGCACGCAAGTCATCAGCCAGCACGAGGATTGCGTCTTTGAACAGTACACACACAGTGATCCTCCTCATGGGAGTAAGCACTGATTTGCCTCTGATCTAGGGGCATTTGTCAGTGATCTCCAAAGACTGTCTACGAGTGGGAAATAATGGCTAAAATCTTGTAGTGTGAACTCGGCAATAGTGGTGACTAACAGAAGGTAAACTTTATTCTCCAATCATCATTATGTAAATGACCACTTAAACAAACCTTCTCCCTGGAGAGCAATAATTAATACTTTTTCTACCTTAAGAAAACTTAAGTTATATAAATATTTATATCTGGGTAGATTCTCACTGTACAATCAAAGATAATCGTATTGACTTAACATGGGTTTACCTTCTTTGTTACTGAAACATACCAGAAGCAAGCAGTAGCTTTGGTCAGGGTTAAGCTTTATTTCTTATTTCCTTAAACTAGAGAATCAGTCCACTGTATCTAAATGTTGTAATGACTTCAGAAAAATATACTTTTTTTAAAAGTTCATTAAGTAAGTAGCTAGAAGAACAATAGCAACAATAGAACAAAAGTGTTACCTGCAATGACAATAGCTTGGGAAAAAGAGTGAATAATGTTTTACTGTGTTTGTAGTGAGTCTTACATGTGTTGAAGTCATTTCTGTGGTGGTGCCTTTCTGTCCTGTCTCTTCCTCAAGTTATATTTGTCTGTTTATGGCTGTGTTCACATTCCTCTTCACCGTGGCACAATTCTTTCAGCATACACTCCCTGTTTTTGTTATTTTATCCATTAATGTCCCCATATCCAAAATTAGCTGTTGATCAGAGATTTTCTCTTGACCTGCATGTGACCTGCATGAACCTGCATGTTGACTGTGTACAAGCGTTCTTCATCTGGCAGTGAGTTGTGGAAATATTATTTGGGTGTCAAAAACTCTCAAAAACGTCCTCAAACAACGACACGTGGAAGCCATCATTTACAAATATTGATCACCCAATTGAAACATCCGTCATTGATTACCCTCACATTCTGTTATGTAATAGTATGCCATACTGTAAGTACTGCATGTATGTTGTGGTTGGTGGCACCACTGTTTAGTTAAATTTGTTTAATTACAATGTCAGTTCTTTATGTTGGAATGATTGCAAAACAATAACAAAGTTATTCTGAAAGATTCAGATATTTCTATATTCCTGGTCATGCACAGTTTGTTTGCACATCAACTTTACTTTTCTAAACTGATCCTTAATAATTTAAGAGGAATAGCACTGGATTTTGTCAGTCATGTATGTTACTACTATGTCTTTGGCCAGTTTAGTAAATATTCAACATTCAGCCAGAAAAGGAGAGGTGCAAAGAGGAAAGCAAGTATGAATAAGATATTCAAAAACTGCTAATAACCAAAAATCCAACCAAAAATATAGAAACCCTGCCCAGTCGAAAATGTGGGGTATCCTTACCATATGCATTTGTCATTCAGTAAGCACTTAAGGTCAATAACATGTTTCATAATAAACTATGACCTAATGCCATGAAAGCGCTTAGTGCCACAATATGGAAACAAAAAGGTAAAAAATTTCAAATCATACACCGGAATTGGAAGAATGGAAATGGTAGCTCCACATTTAGCATATTTTTTTGTCTGTTTAGGAAACTGTCTAGGCTTCTTTTTTGGCAAATTCAGTGTTTTCTTGTAATTGTTCCATTAGCTTTTTGGTTGTTTTTTAATGCAGGACGAGGCTGTTTATGACAGAGTGAAGGCTCTGTGAATATACAGTAGCTTGTGTTCAGCTCTCCAAAGTTTAGATCTTAAATAATAATCTTAACTTTAAAAATAACAATTTAATTTACTGTTTTTTTTTACAAAAATTTACCAAATGCTGAGATATATATGCCTAATGTGTATATTCTTTATGTTTTCTTTCATCCCTTACAATCAAGAAGGCCATGTGACCCCCTGTGAAGCTTTGGCGTCCCCTAGTGGGTGTCCACTGATGTAGATTAGCTAGCTAGTTAGCCAGTGTTTTGCTAACATTAGCTTACTTAAGATGCAACTATGTATATATATATACTTATATATACACTTTTATCTTATAACCATGTTCAAAATGTGGTTGTCTTTTCAACACAGATGAGCCTGGCACATAGCATATCTAAGTACAAGAAAGGAGAAAGTTGACTGTTATTGGATGGCAAAGCAAAAAGGGGCAGGACTTAGCAAGGGTCAATTATTGAGACTCCATGACGGCAGGCTTTCACTGGCGACCAGCTGTAAAGTCTTGCCTTTAGACAGGTCTTCACATGAATGAACTAGTTTCAAGTTCTTGTGTTCCATAAATTACATTTAACTTACTGTCGGGTGAATGATTGAGAACACAGTGACCGCCAAGCTTCCAGCACCATCTCCTAAGGACGTTCAGATTAATTTCACTGTGACCGGGTGCTTGAAACACATGAGTTGACTGTATCATTTGTAGCCCTAAGGAAGGGACTGGCTGGCCAAAGTCATAGAAATAACAGGTATAAGATTGAGTGTTCTCCTTGTTGGCTGTGGGCTGTTGGCGTTGACTTGCAGTGTTCCGTGGTGTCTGTTTGCAGGCTGACAGCAGAAGCAGTAGAGCAGCCGGGGATAGTAACCATTCTGTCGTTGCTTTGCGTGCCTCTAAGATACCAGCTTTGTGCCATAGCTCTGGGAAACACCCGTCTGCCTCTCTGTCCACTCCTCACTGCTCAGACACCACCGATAGCCTGCAAAACTTCTCCTCTTCCCCTTCCTCCTCCTCCGCTTCTTCACCTTCAGTTTCTTCTTCCTCCTCCTTTGGGAAACACTCTCTTCTGTCTGCTTCAATCGTCTCCAAAGCTTTTTCCCATTCGTCCTCTCCTTCCTCCGCCCAGCGCTTCAGACAACAAGCTTTCTTGTCTTCCCTCTCCTCTTCCTCCTCGGTGAAAAACTCCTCCTCAGTTTCTCCGTCGAACTCCCCACTTCGCTCCCCCTCCCCATCCTCAAATTCATTTTCTTCATCCCCTCCTCCTCACAAGTCATTTATCCCGTCTCTGAATCTAAGTCATCTCCTCCCCTCATCTAGCCACATCTTGTCGCCATCCCACGCTAGTTCCAGCCCGGCCTACTGCGGGCCCTGCAGCAGCAAACGCCAGCACTGCCTCGCCCTCGCCTCCACCTCCAGCACCGCCTCCACCTCCCAACACAGCTACTACTCTTCATCGTCCTACTCCTCATCCTCACCCTCCTCGTCCTCCACCTCCTCCTCCCTGTCTCCCACCTCATCTTCCTCCTCCCCTCCCTCCCCGTCTACCTCCCTTCTCCCCACCATGGCGAGCCATAGGGCAAGGAGTGTCCGAACGTCAGGGTCCAACCCCAGCACTCCGAACCATGGCAAGAAACGCACCGGAGGCCAGGCCGGCCGAGTCCCGCGCACAGTGGCAGCGACCTTGAAGGACGCAGCGTGATGTTTTCATCTACAATTTAGGCTTTAAAACATGTAAGTGCAGAGAGAAACGGCTCACCCAGCTGATGTGTCCCTACAGCAATATTGTGTGATGTTTACTTTTCTACATTTTTTGGATGGGTTGTGGACAAAGAGAAGGCATGTAAAACCTTAAAAAATGGGTATGGGCAAATTTGATAAGTAACAGCAAGTATACCAAAGATATGTTTGGGGCCACATGAGAGCACTGTTTATTTTAGTTTATTTTTAATTGTAAAATGTCCCACTCACTTCATATCTACATTACTGTTCTATAATAACCAAATTTAAAGAATTTTATTTTTAGGGTTGTTACTATTTTTAAGTTTTTAATTTATTTTTGGAAAATCCTACCATCTACTAAATCTGTAACGAAATTAAATATTGACCATAATAAAAGCACCACAGGTGGTGCATTGTACATTTGTAAAATGCACTGTGACACTGATGTGACACAGTTACTGTAGTTCTCTGTGAGGCAGTGAAGGCCCCGCTGATCATCAGAATAGTCCGTTCTAAAAACATAGTTCAGGATTAGGCTACATGGATGTATTCAAATGAAGTCAGTTCAGCTTTCATGTTAGTTTGAAGTTGCTCATAGTGGAATTTTGAATGCCTTGCACTGCCCCGTGAGGGCTTAGGGCTGTCCCAATGTCAAAGTGCATGAGGGCTCTCCCGTAGACATTTTGAGCCCCCAACTGGTCGAGGCAGATG